CTGCCGTTTGGACTATTAACCATCTCAACGTCTACCTTCATCTACTACTAGAAGTACTCCCAGTTGAATTAATGTACACTACCCTTAAACCACATGGTGAACTGGAAATGCATAGATTTAGATGCCCACCTTGGTTATATAACTGTGGATACTTAATGATACTCCAGATAGTATAAATGGGCCCTTTGTGGTTAGCAAAGCCAAAAACTGAAGAACGTTTTCGTGAATGAATGTTTATATTACTAAATAAGAAACCACGCAGGCGGACTAACAACGTCGTCCAGTGAAAGATGGGAATCAATGCCCGTTTCTTGATTTGCAGCAAGTTTTAATAAGTTTATGCATATCAATAACTTGCTATGTGAGTTACATAATTCCAGATACAATTCTGTAAACTGTCAAAATCATTTTCACGGTGCTTGTGAACTGGTATCTGTCATGCTAAATCCATTATATGGGGATGGGAATTTTTATCATCTTCACTTTGACACTGCATATACTGAAAAGTGGTATTTTCTTTGTCTCGTAACCGCGATCTGATGTTTTTGATGGAGTTAAACGACCTCCCCTCTTTACTATTCAGGGCCCGTAAAATCTTGTAGATTTTCCGACACATGTCAATCTGATGATGCCTGCAAGCTGGCTTCTCTCGTGCTAAATTACTAATGTGAGGATAAAAATTTATTATTTATTATTACTATTACCGTGCCAACCAAAAAAATCATCGTCTGAATTTCTTATTGGATTCCTCCACCTATGTTTGTGAATCTTTTGAATAACATTCTTAGGGCAGTTATTGGAATGTAACACATCTGGTATGCTTTCTTGCTTCACTTCGCTTGTCATCTTTATTCGCGATGGGCTGTGTGGCTCTCCTGAATAAATTCCGAGCGAGTGAAAGTTTATCGTTAAGTGGATATGCTGAGTTGAAATCAAGATATCGATTTGAATGCGTTGGCTCACGAAAAATCAAAAAACTAGGACTCCCGTTTCCATTCCTTCCAATTAAACAGACTAGGAATGATAACTCATCGCTTACATTTTCATGCTTACACATGAATTTAATGTGTGCAGAGAACAAGTATTGGTAAGCATTGAAGGGGTTCATTTAAAATCCACTTACCAACTGCCCAATTTATTCAACCCTATTAGGTCAATAGTTGATCCTGAAGTTTGTAAAATTGTTTTTATTGCTATTAACGCCACACTTGATTTCAATTAGCTGTTTACCTACAGCGATGACGGTTCCGCTGCAAGCATTTTCATTGGGAAAGGGTTTGTTCACATATTAAAGATGTGTTCTACAAGGAGTCATTAACGCTGGAGCTAAGCAAGTCTTATCCCTCCTTTATTCAGTAGTAGTGCAGTCTACGATTGGTATTTGTTCACTCCTTGAAGGCCTCAAACCACCAGACATTACATGTGGAAAATTTCATCGAAGAGTTCCAGATATTAGTAACAAGTGTGTGCTGTAACAACTATCTAATTTGTCAGCTGGAAAACTTCCTATCGCCTATCATAGATCAGCTCTGCAGTTAGCATCATGAGTTTTTCATGACCACTGAGGCTGTAAAATATCCAAAGAAAACTTAGAGGCTGAAAAAAACTACTGCTTGATCACTGGGATGCATTATTGACCTCTACTTTGATATATATCTGAAACTGAGTAAGCGTTCGAGTGCCTCCACATCTTGCAGGAAGCTCCTTAGCGCCAACAGCGGTTTACTGAAGACATTCATGGGCTGCAGGTCTCAGTGGTAACGTGTTGGCAGCGGAACTAGGTGCTGGTTTCGATCCGTGGTGCGGTGATGGGTGTGCAGTTCTGAGTAGTCCTAGACTAGGAAGAAAGAGCTGTACAGTGCCCCCAGTTTCCTGATGTTCTTTCAACAGCCGTAAGCCCATGATGAAGACCAGTCTGAAGTCAATGTCTAACCTCTAAACTGAACATCTGTCTTTGCCTGTAAAATGAAATAAGCCCAAATTATAACCGTATACAAATGAAATCGGGCGATGATCTTGCCGAAAAAATAAGTCACGTTCTACTGGAATAGAAATGACTGTTGACACTCTATGGCAGAGTTCATCATGCAGTAACTGTCTGGTTTTATGTTGCTTAAAGGAAAGATGAACATTTTCAGTTATATGCAGCGTGAATAAAGTTACTTAGAAAGGCCCATGTGCGCAGCACATTAGCCTGCCCGGTTTTAATGTATATCTGTGAAACATGGCCACTGAAATTGGAGGACGTGGGGTTTTGGATGCATAGTCGTCCCCCCCCTTAGGCAGTCCTAGAACTATTGGGCGTAGAGTTTTCAGCAAAAAAAGGGCAGTTGGTCCATCAATGTGACATCCCACCTGTATGGAGTGAGGTGGCTGGGACATGTGTAGCGTAAGCGAAGTCACCGTCTGTCTGTTCAGCTGTGTAGGCAGAGACAAGTTAGGGCTGAAAAAAAGTTATATGCGACCTAACTAAAAATTCCTACCAGTGTACGATGTCTCTGACTGTTGGTTTGAGCCATGTAAGAGGATTCAAGACGCCCGGTTCGTGTCCGCGTGACAACAAAAATCAGTGGTTGGGAGTTACATACTGTCTCAGCAGAACAAATGAATGCACAGCCTAGATCAAGATCAGAATTCAAGGTCATTGTCCGTTGAAATAAAAGTTCGGGACTCCAGACCTCGCTTGCGGGCTGGTGGAAAAGCCTTATCGGATAGTCTTGTCTTCCGGATGACGAATGAAGATGAATATGCGACCTATGGCTTCGTCTTTCGAGGTGAAATTCAATGTAAATAATGTATTTTGACGGGTGTGGCCAAAAGCTACCTCCTAACTTGTTATGAGTTACCACATTCCATGTGAAAAATGCATATTCCACCCATTTCTATACTCTCCAAAACGCCGTTTACCATCTGGTTGCGTTTCATATGGTTTACCCGTGTGCAAAACATTGGATGTACTTGACGTCTTTGGTGAAAAAAGGGTGATTTATTTACGAATAATGAAACTCATAAATCAAAGTAATTGTTTTAAAATCATGGCAAGGAAGGATTATGACTTCAGTTTACACTTGTTCACTTTACCTGCAACGTTCACTGCGAGTTGAACCAACAAATTTTTCAAGTATCAGATGGCGATTTCATCTCATATTGTGCATTTCACACATGTAACTGTCGCACGATTGCAAACAACACTGCAGTGTGCTAGGTGAAATGTCAGGAACCCATGACCAATGTTTAACACAGACAATATCTAAGGACATGACTGGCTACAGAATTTAGATAGACTGCAAGTAAACATGACAAACCGATGAAACCAGGCCCCTTTAAATTTACTAGAGGTAGGTGCCTACATGGATAACAAGTTACTACATGTATGACAAATCATTAACGGCTGCATACAGAGATGATTGAGGGCCATAACAGTGCAAACTGAAGCATTTGTTGATAATTCTGAAACTATACTCACTAATAGGAAGAATCACGGTCTCTAAAACAACCTCATACCTATGTTCACCGTAGAAAACGACCCTCCAGATACTTCACGTAGCTAAAGATTGACTTCCGAAACACCACATTTTAGAATGCCTTAGCCCTACAGATACTGCAGTTTTCTAGGACGCTTGGGACCCGCTATTTAAGAACAGTTTTATCGTAAAACGACAAAATGAAAATCCAGTAGTAAGCACAATACATGGAAGATATTACTTTAAGGTGCATATTGTTATTCAGTGAAAGTAAGAAAGGTTTATATTTGTCCCGGTGCGAAGTTGACAGACGCAAAGACCAATCACTAATTATTCAGACTTGTTATATACCCACGAGTACGAGACCAAGGAAGAACACGATAGCGTAGTCGGATGGAATAGCATATTTGGGTGGTTGTGCCAAGATACCGATGCGTCCCAACTAACTGGCTAGAGAGTTGAATACGAGCAGTGCAACGTAACACGACAGCGTGCCAAATGGCGAGGATGCTTGACCGGGTGCCTTCAGCTTAGCCAGTCCAGTTAAACTATCCAGGTCAGCATCAATGATGAAAGTCATCAAACCCTAGGCTATTGATTTTGGGGAAGTGTGTGACGCTACAAACTTATAGGTATATAGCTATTGTCACCTCTTTCTATATGTAGTAGGTAGCTTTTTAGACATAAGTGCCGATTTTGTTTATCGAAGGCGCCTACAAGTGAAACTACGGCAATCAGTTGTTGCTAATGGATAGATGGTGGTACTTATAACCTATTAAGTTACAATAAATTCCGTTTATTGCACTATATCACCTACATTGAAGCCCACTCCCTACAATACCTACCTAAACGCGATTAATTATATGAAACCTCATTCAGCTCTATTGCTCAAGATCGGCTAGAAACGGAAACCGTCCACATTTATAGATAACTCTTAGCCACACCTATTTTTGTCAAGTAACGTTGTCTTCCATACAGTCATAAGCTTGTCTTTGTCTTCTGATTTTTGCAGTTCAGTCAAGTACCAGTTTTGAGGAAGAACATACAGTCCAAGTGTCTTAATCAGGGCTACTATCGTTCACATCGGTCATCCCAATCTCGATCATAATCGTGGCATAAAATAAAGTTACTGTCTTATATATTTTTGCTCTCTCCTTATGAATTTCTGTTACCTTCGTTACTTCGTATCCTTATTTCGCACTCCTTCCCCCCTGATGTCCTCCATCTTGATGCGCTGACATGAAGTGGTGAAACGTCAACTACTACGCAGAAATACACCGTTCCATGTTCAAACTGACTGAGTGAATAAGCGTCTAACCATCAAACGATCTCCAAGCTTCCTCAAATTGCTGAGAAGACAGTGGGAATCACTTCTGAACAAAAATTTAATGTACCAAGTCGAGAGGAAATTATTCAGAGAAGGAAGTAACACAGTGGCATGGAATTCAAAAATAATATATACAGAAGTACTCTTAGAGACATTAATTCTGTTATGGAATCATATGAATTCGAAGTAATGAAGACAGTAGAAAGAATTCAAACATTCATAAGGATATCATCATAATTGAAATCAGGGAAGAAGAATTTGATCTCCTTCATTGCAGTTTCTTGTGAATCTACAAATATCAGAGTACAAATGCATTACACAAACTTTATTCAAAAGATAAAGGTAATTTTATAACAGTAATAACTTGCTCATTGATATGATGGGTCAAATTCCCCGATCTTTATTGGCAGATAGGCTCTGATAGAGACACCCCGATACTGCCTGAGTATTCACTTTGCTGTAATTTATTTGGAAGAAATGTGCTTCCATGATTGCTCTACTATCTACTACCAAGTGAATTATCAGAAATAACCTTAGGGATAAGAAAAAACACTAAATTTTCAACATATGACTTGGTCAGCCTTACAGAAGACATTCCATTGAAGTGCGATCTGAGAGACCTTCAGTATTGACATAGTTATGAAGGCGGTTGAGGCTTCTCAGTTGCCTACATGGTGAGAGACTAGTTCTTCTTGACGTACCTGAAAAACAAGGATTAGTGTGTGTGATCGCAGTACCCAAGAGATACATACTTGACGTCGGTCAGGCACAGCATTTTAAAGGTTCGATACCTTAATTTGTGAATAGTAGTAGTAGTGGTTTGCTAAGGAGTACTGTAGAGTTTATTTTTCTTAGGGCAAACCATTTCTAATCTACACTTCCTTGACTGACTGACAAAATCGACGTTCAATCTCCTAAACGAGTGTATCACATCAAGTTGCTATACTTCACAGCAGTATACAAAGAACAGGTGAATACAAAAAGAATGACATCAAAGTAGACAAAACTGTGTAAGAAGAAATAAACAACCTAAAGATAATGATTAATGCGGTAATTCAAGCATTAGAAGATGTCAAGGCATGAATACATGTGTGCCATTATGAAAGATTTCCAGTCATTTCACCAACAGACCTCACCTACTGATTTCTTTCATCTCGTGGACCCCAACCAGGAAGCTTAAGTCTTCCCACACAGTTTAGACGAACAGTTAAAGACATCAGGTCTTGGTATGGCCACTCTGAACCCTCTTCCAACCTAATTCAACTTCTCTTCAGCATAACACATCGGAATAGATGGTAACTTGGCATGCGCAGTAGATGTTGAAGCTATTTCAGTCAACTATGGTTCACAAACTCATCAATCTAATTGTGGGCCTTCCCTGCTTAGTATTTAGTACTCTTCACCTGACACCAACATTATTCACATGATGATTCCAAGAAATACGAGCAATGACACAAAGACATATGTAATCGAAACGCTGCAACTGCTTCATGTCTTCAACTTTCAACGGCCATATCTCAAACCTGTACAACAGGATAGAACGGACAGTAACGCGGCTTACTTGTCCTGGGATCTACCGCAGGTGGGGTTATGGGTGTGCAGTGGTGAAAAGTTCAATTCAAATGATCACACAGCACTCCACTCCTCTCAAGTGTTCAACGTTCGCTAAATGATTTCGCTCTGTAATGAATACTAACTGTAAACAAAATTTTCTTAGTTGTTACGTCTAACTTTTAACAAGGATAAAAACATCATCTGTCTTGGTTAATTGAAGAAGAGATAAGGTCAATAAACAGGTTTATCAAATCTTGTTGATACAATTATGCTAACCCAACCTAGTCTGATGTTGCTATGAGGAGTCCATTATGGACTGTTATTAACTGATGTATATATGTGACAGATTGAACTAATAACTCAGGATTTAATCAGTAATATCACATTCTATAGACGGTATGTTGTAATATGTAACACAGATGAAGATGCCAGAGAGTTGTTAAAAAGGCTTAGTACTCTAACTATATCATATCCACCTGAGATATGAGGAGGAAAATGACCACCAACTAGCATTTCTTGATATAATCTTGTGTTCCATGGGACATGGATCCAACGGACAACCGATCTATAGAAAGTCTACTTGAGCAGGATGGTAATTGAGGTTCTACAGCTTTTGTTCAAGGAAATATAAGACAAGCTTAGTAAAATGGTTACCTTAATAGGATCCAACGTATTTCTACATCTCATACAATGAATGATGAGAGCAAATTTCTGATAGACATACTTATGGAAAATGGATATAGATTACAGTTTGTGAACCATTGTCGAAAATGGCTAACCCCAAAGAAGGATATGTTTCTTAAAGTACCCATACAAAGGGGAAACGATGACTATGATATTGAAACAGAGATTAAAATCTGATATTCAGTAGAACATACTATGCAGTTCAGTTTATCATTGTTGAGGCAATAGAACACCTGCTTCGACATAAACATCAACCCCTCGCATAAAAGATCATATCACATCCCACTGTGTTTGCTAATTTACATTTATGTGATAGTGTACATACTTACATAGGGAGGAGTAATCGTGAAATGCAGACTTTAGTTCACAAACTTGATACGTCCAGGTAACAAACATCCATCTTCATCTATAGCAAAACATCTTCATCGAAATGAATCATAAGGTGAAAACCAGAACAGTATTCAAGATATTATATATTGTGTAACGGTCAGGGGTGTATACTGAAATTTGTCGAAGCGTTAGCCATTCATGATCTTAAACCGCTGTGGTGGTGTCGACGAAAGCAATTTGTCGTTTCACTTAATTTCCCATGATAATCTGATTATATTACCAAGATGATTGTCATAATCTTTTCATTTTCATGTATAAATTGATGACTTGACAAGTGAATGTGTGTGTGTGTGAATAGATTTTTGCATTGCTTAAATTCATCACCCACCAACTGCTACCATGATTGCTGTTGCTGTTACAGTTTTAGCTTATCTATTCTTTCGGTTTATTTTCTCAAAATATTCTTCCATAACAAGGAGTCAATAGTTGACTATATGGCACAATTATTCATTATGTCTTGTTGTTAATTACTATTACATAAACTATGAATTATATAATAATCTGTCTAAGCCTTCATACATTAGTCTGTGCCTTAACTACCCCCTATCATAATTCCCTTACTCCTTCGACACTTCGAAATAAACCGACTGTGACTAACTAACTTTTCCTTACTAAAATCGTCTATTATTTTGTGTTATCACTTTAGAACTTAGTGAAATATGTAACTCCCCGTTGTTATTCTGCAATGAATAGACCGAAGTGTGTTAGCATATGGTTTCCTACGCAGATGCTTGAATATTGTCTGATTATTCATTGTCTTACGATTCACTTGATGTATTCGAATCTTACCAATAACAACACCACTCACTATGATGCGTAACTACATCCAGTTGACGAGTCAAAAACAGGATGAAACGCGCATCTTCCATTTCGCTGCTAATTACTAACAAGCGAATAGCAAAATTACTATCGAACTGTTGTTGATGAGTTAACTAATTGAAATGAAATAGTTGTGATTTTTGACTGTGGTCGGATTCGAACTAGGCACCACCAGGGTTGCAGGTCCACTGCTCTATTAACTGACCTACAACGCCTGATTGCTGACCAGATTTTTCTTCTCTTCCAATCACAAACGGGGTTTCGTCCGTCTACCCTGTGAATTCATAACGTGTTACTACCGCCCGTAGTCTAGACCTCTCATCCCAATCCCATTCAAACTGAATTAGAGAGGGGGGGGGGATAGCATCATACTGCTTACCATTTTGACTATCTGAGTGAGATAGCCGTTCTTTGACAGACTAGTATTGATGATTGAAGGTGAAATGAATATTTGGACCGCGGACGGATTTGAACCAGTAACTATCGGGCTTCTGATTCAATCCTCTGCCAACTGAGCTAAATGTTAAATGTTTTAACCTAAGAATTTTAGTATTAATTGTAGAATTATAAAGATGAATTTTCCAGAAATCACCGAAATCATCCAGACATCATAGGCAGCCTCACACACACACACCATCGCGTAGTATGTATATATATATATATATATCTCACCTGATCCATGAAAACCATTTCTAGTATCAGTTAAACCAAAACGACCACGTAAACTATTTGGCTGAGATACAACAGCTCTAAATAGCAGGGAGAAAAATTGCAGAGAGAAATTAGTTAAGTGATTTAAACGTTGGATAAAAATGCCATATTGTATACACGCATTATTAGATGGATAATTTGATCTCAAAAACAAGATATTCAGAGAAAAGGACTCTTTTCAAAGAATTTATTCTCAAGTTGTACATTCGTATATATACATATCATTTGACTATCTGAGATAGCCGTAGTTTGTCAGACAAGTATTTATACTGGGTGATAATTGAACCAGCGACAACTCGGTGGTAGCTGGTTCGAATCCACCCGTGGTCCAGATTTTCATTTCACCTTCAATCATCACCCAGTATATATATATATATATATATATATATATATATATATATATATATATATATATATATATATATATGATATTTAAAGACCGTAAACCGTGAGGGAGATTTAGCTTAAGTAATGGGAGGCTGAAATAATAATGGTGGTTACAGTGATAATAATGTTGCTAGTTGATGACATAAAGTTCGAATGAAAATAAAAAGAGGTTACATAAGATTTTCAAATCGTTCATAAGGTGCATATAGATTGAAAAAAGGGGGTGAGAACGTTAATAAAGAATCAAATGTGATTGGACAATATGAGTGAGACAAGTAAATGGGAGTAAATTGAAACTGAGAAGGAATTGGAGTCAACTATTCGTTTCCTTGACGTACTGATTACAAGACGTAGGAATGGAACGCTGAAAAGATCCATCTAATGGAAACCCACATGGAATGGACAGCTTACTAATTTGTATAGCTGAGTGCCGATCATGAGGAAGAGAAACCTCATTTACTCACTCCACCATTGAATACGTAATATTTGCAGTACGGAATGTGTCCAACTTGAACTTGACTTTCTAGGTGAAATGCTGGAGGAAAACGGCTATCATATCCGATTTATTGATAAGAATATGCGAGAAAGACATAAAAAACCAGTCACCAGCTCAATTTCTAAAAAGACTTCGTTCATGAATCTCGACTTCAAAGGTAATGCAGCATCAGATATCCTGAAAAATCGTCTTTCCAGATCAATTAGTAGGACTTTTTTCTCAGCCAAACTTCACTTGATCTTAACCAGTCATAAATTGTTCTCCGTTTGTATAAAAGACAATATCCTTCGGCAGGCCACAACCATGTGTATCTACCAGTTTACCTACTCCTGTGGAGCAAGGTACATTGGCCGTGGTCAAAGATTGTTGTCACCATGTATACGAAAACATAATTCCTGCCTGGTTGTCTTTAAGGGTGAAAGAAAATCTATCAGAAATTCTATTCTTCAGCATTTAATCGATTCCAACCATTCAACCGACCCAAACAAGGATTTTAAGGTTGTCTATTGAATTCGCACAAACACCTCACGTTTCCTCTGTGTTCAACTTCTAAAAACATCAGACGCCTTGGCTATCCATGAACTGAATCCTGATGTTTGTGTGTAAAAGAAGTATGTACAGTCTTTGTCTCTACCTTGGTCTTGGTGCACTTCAGCCTCTTTTTTCATTTTTCAACCCTTCCCCTCTTTTTTGTCAGAATAATCTTTGTACTCTTATATCGTCATTATCACTCTGTTTTTTGTATTCATTTGTTTCCGGTATTATTTCATTTGATCTTTCTAATTATCGCAACTCTTAACAAAACATTTTCAATTTACTCCAATTAACCTGTTGTCTCATTCATATTACCTAATCACATTTGATTGTTTATTAACGTTCTCAACCCCCTTTTTTTAATCTATATGCACCTTATAAACGACTTGAAATCTTATGTAACCCCTTTTTGTTATAATTCAACCTTTATGTCATCAACTAGCAACATTATTATCATCATAACCACCATTATCATTATTATTACTTCAACCCCCCATTATTTAAGTTAAACGCTCCTCAACGATTACAGTCTTTAAATATTATACATATATGTATACGAATGTACAGGTTAGAATAAATCCGTTGAAAAGATTCCTCTTCATTGAATATCTTGTGTTTGATGTCACAATGGGAATTAGGAACATATTAAATAATTTGATGACGAGTGGATTACGATCACCAGCTTCGACAATATTACTGAATCCATTGAGGTTAAGGATAATTGGTTGTACAAATTCAAGACAAAATCAACAATCATCCTACAATTAGACCTTATGACCATAATTATAGTAAGAATGTTGACAAAAAAGAAACTCAATTTCCAGGTAATAAGTTCTGGGTTCTGGCGAGTTACGGAAAGCATTTCCAACAAACTACACACATTCATCATCAACAGCTGCCGCTTAAACTCTACTCGATACTGACACTGAAGATCAGATGGCCAGAATAATAAGAATAAACAACAAGGAACTCTGGCCGTGCAATGAACCAACCAACAACCTATCGCCTAAAAAATATGCACAACAAAGTAGAGATGGATTCAGCATACAAAGAGAAGACCATTCGGGGACATTACGCGTCAGGCCAGGCCCTCAAGTGGGATCCAAATGGGAAACGATGAGTCACATGGAGAGAAGATCGTATAAGAAAGAAATGAAGGTTATTGGACAGTCATAGCGCCAGGTTAAAAAGACTGCAGACAAGAGAGTGAAATGGAGACGTGTTACTGAATCCCTATGTTCCACCAGGAAGCCAAAGGACAAATAAATCATAACAAACATGAAACAAAGGCCAGTCTCGGCCTCATGCCAATTAACTCGTAACATCTAATGCTAAAATAGAGATAGTGAGGTTAACATTCTCAGGAAGTAATCAATAATAACAAGTAATTTGTAACAATAAGAAAAAGGTAAATTATATCATAATTAATCGTGTCAAAAATAGGTAGACAAAATCTTACTGATATACTTTGGTTGGACCAAGCAACGAACGCCAAACAGATATTGCTTCATTACCGGTTAGAATATACACTCCAAGTGGTCCACTATACAAATAATATTTACGCATATATGTATGAAAAACAATACATTGTAAGGTTGACAGTTAGAGATCAGAAACATTTACACTAAAAGTATCAATTGAATAATGTGTATACTGTAAGACACAGATCATTCTTCAGTATTTTAAGACTGTTAGAGGGACTCGAACTTTTCGAGACTACATATCTCTCTCCATAGCATTCGTTACGCCGTGTTGAAGTTAGACTCACAGTGGTCAGCAACGGTAGTAAATCAGTTGATGAGACCTATCAGTAGTAAAATTCTCCTTATCTGTAGTACACATAGATGTTGTGTCATTCTCATTACATGTATTGAGTGTTGATTGACTTGATGAACGAAAACTCAATCATCGATTTCTTTCTTCATTTAATTGTTTCGGAGAGTGGTTTTATACGAACGAACCTATTGTATATGTCAATGGATAGTGTAGAATAACCAAGTTCTTGTTTAATTTATTCATCTTATTCAGGTCTGTCATTCTATATTTGGCTAAATTCCTATGTTGCGCTATTCTAACGGGCCGCGATCAACCAGGCTAGTTTGACCTATGTATTTGACCTGACTCACAGTCATTACATAGGACCTGAAAGATTACATCATTTTACTTAATTGGTCCTATCAGATCCTTAAGCCAGCAGACAAAGTTTATCTCTGAGTGAGTTTGTAGATTTAAATGTCACCATAATTCAAGCTTTGTTGAGAATCCTATGTAACTTATCTGATATACCTTTCTTATAAAGTAACACAATGGAGTCTGCGAACTCCTCTCCGCTCATGTTGTCGTTATTATTCGTACTCGTGTTACTGTTATCATTTCGTTTCTTTCATGTGATTCAGTCCTTCCATTGACTGGTCACCTTTCTATCGCTATCATTTATACATTTCACTAAACTTTCCTTAACTAACTCCTATTGGGTAAGATAGCTTGAAGTCGAGATACCTATTGGAATGTGTCGCTTTCCCATAGACGACAGTATCAAAAAAAACCGTTGATCATTTATTTTATTCTACAGTCCAAAATAGATAACTCTCGTTCTTCATTTCCTACCGCCTTGTAAGTGGGAATTGGATGGCGCCTAGTCAGTTTATATGTGTGAGGAAATTGTTGATATGCTCCGAATACAACATAGAGAATGAATCATCCACATATCACCATCAGTCAATCATGACAACACTAATCCAACGTTTCTTTTAAAAATCATAATATTTATACAACAAACTCAATTTTACACGAAACTCATTTATTGTAATTCATATTTGTCGCTACGATTCGTAGTGAAACACAGGGATTCAGTAGCACGTCTTCATTCCACTCTCTTCTCTGCAATCTTTTCAACCTATCTTCCACAACAGTCCAGAAACCCTGATTTCTTCCTCACACCATCTCCTCCATGTCACCCTCACCTCGAATGCCCAACTCATCGTCTCCCATTTGAATTCCACTCGAGAGCCTCGCCTGGAGCGTGTCATGTCCCCGAGTAGTCTTCTCACTGTTGTTTACCCAATCCATCTCCACTTTCTTACACTGCATAGTTGTTGGCTGATAGGCTATTGGTTGGTTCGTTGCCAGCCAGCCAGCCAACCGGCCAGCCAGAGTTCCTTCTTGCTTATTCTTTCTGGCCATCTAAGCTTCAATAACGAGCCAGCGTAGGCCGCAGGTGTTCATGAATATCTGCAGTTTGTTGGAAATGCTTCTCGTGACGCACCAATTTTCTGAACCATATAGTAGCACTGACTTCATTGGCATTGGTGTTGAATATCCGGATCTTCTTCACCCTTCATCCTGAGTGCAGTAAATCTCCACACTGGTTTCGGGTTAATGAACACCTGTCTTGCTTCTCCGATCCTTATAGAAGTATAAATAAATACTGAAGGATAGTTATTAAGAATTAGTGTCTCTGTGTGATGTGTTTCAGTTCTTTATGTAGGTTTTCTGACTTATTCGTCAACTATTTCATTTGTTAAAATCCGGATGTTGTTCACACTTTGTGCTGAGTGCAGTAGATCTCCACAGTGATTTCAAGTTGATGAAAGCCTGTCTTGCTGTCTTACCGATCCTGGTTTTGACATCCTCGTCAGTTCCTATCCCACCTGTAGCTGCCTGCTTAGGTAGGTGAAAGAGACTCATTCCTTTAAGTTTCTCCTGTTATTGGTAATTGGAAAGATATCATTATACTTCCAGTAAATAAAGGACGTACTACAGTAGTCGTGGACAAAGAAAACTATATCAAAAAGGCAGAGGAATTACTCAAAAACGAAAACGTGTACCAACCATTTGAAATCAACCCTATCCAAGAGTTCGACAACCAGGTCAATAAAACCTTGAATAAACTCTTCAAAGCAGAAGAAATAGCAAAGCAAAACAGATGGAGCTTTTCTTCATCTGTTTTCACTATTACAGTCTTTAAGAACTTTTCAGGACAGCCGTTCTCATATAAGGGGTTCCATATTATTGTTAATTCATCGTTCAAAGTATCAGCTGGGAAAATCTTACTGGCTTGAAATCTGAGTATACGGATTAAATTCCTTTAGTACGTAAGAGGGACAAGTAATGGGAAATGTGTATACTGATCAACCTATGATTTCTTACAATGAATACTGTCTGACACTGCCATCTGTTCGTTTTGATGGTAAATTACCTAGAAATGACAGACATTCGTCTTTCTGTATTTTATATGTGAACTCGGTTCCTGGATGAGCACTGTTGAATACATCAAGAAGAATGTCAGGACAATTTATCGATCATACTACGTAGTGGTACACATTCCAATTTTGCTATAAACATGTTGGCTAGTCGGTCTTTCGACTCTTATACACGTCCATCGTGTTTTCTTCATTAAATAGTCGGGTTGTGAATCAACTTAGAATTTGTTGAACGTTAGTGGCTGTTGGTCTATATCTGTGCATCGTTAGCGGCCATAGCAGTTTTCCAAATCATAACAGTAACCGCTCATCTTCGTTTTTTCCATGATATACACTATATTCATGCATAAATTAGTCATGATAAAAGTCTACGATTTCAGAACCACAACAGATGTAGGGACAACAGCGGATATGCTCACACAACTATTGCAGAAGGTCTCAAACGAAGGAAAGGTACCTGGCGATTAGAAGAAGGGCTAACTTGTCAAACTCCCAAAAGAAAGCCACCTAAGTCTTTGCAAGAACTGGCACGGAATTATGCTTCTGTTCACCCCGCGCAAAATATTATGCCGCATCACCCTGGAGAGACTATAGGATGCTCTGGATTCAAAACTACTGTAGTGGGCGTTGCGGATAACAACAGATATAAGTAGTATATATCGAGTGTGTGGCAGGAATCATAGGGTATTACCGGCAATGGGTAAGGTTTCTGCCAAGAGCAACGCAGGGGACAACACAGGCGTATTACAGGGGATGCTGCTGATAAGAGTGTATGAAGAGCCGGTCAAGAGCGAATCAAGACAGGAAGGGAGAGGAAACGAAGACATTTGCAAATGGCTGCGTGAGTGCGAGGAGTACCATATGTAACCACTACCATTCCAATTGCTCGTAACATACGTTCTCTCGTCTAGTTGTCTTCCGCTGTTCACTACGCCCGGAACAGGCTGGCCGGCTGGATTCAGAAAGTAAAAATCATGTGTGGACCAAATAACAACGTTATGCATCATCATAGAACAGGGCATAGAATAGCAGTCAACTGAAAACTACGTCAACTTCATCGACTTTGAGGAGGCCTTTGACAGCGTCGACTAAGAAGTAATTTGACAGGCAACTGCTTCAACACTACAGAGTGCCACAAACCTTTATCAACCTGATTCAAGAACTATATGAAGAGGCCACATGCCAAGTAACAACAAGTAACAATGTGAAGCTCAGTGATGCCTTTGAGTCAGAAGTGAAGACAGGAGTAAGATGAGGCTATCTACTATCATGCATGATATTTCTGATTGTGGTCGACTGGACTGGATCATGCAACAAACAGTGAGGAGCGAGAAGAGGAGTGAGTATACGCTAGGTGGAGTGGGTAAAAGATCCTGGAAGATTTAGATTTCGCCGATGACTTGCGTCTAGTGTCACAGAAAGTTGAAGATCTGTAGGCAAAAACTAATATGTTGACAGGAAGGACGAGGCAGCGAAGACAGGACTTGAAGTGAACGTAGAGAAGACGGAGGTGATGGTGATACCCAACCAACCCCACCACCACCACCACCACCACCACCACTAACAAACACCAATGACGATGAACGGGAGAAACTTAAAGGAAGTAGCCTGTTTCACCTACCACGTAGGCAGGTAGGATCGTTTCAACTACAGATGGCAGCAGAGACGAGTACGTCAAAGCCATCCAGGATCGGAGAAGCAAGACAGGTGTTCATTAACCTGAAACCAGTGTGGAGATTTACTGCACTCAGGATAAAGCGTGAAGAAGATCCGGATATTCAACACCAATGCCAATGAAGTCAGTGCTACTATATGGTTAAGAAACTTGGTGCGTCACGAAGAGCATTTCCAACAAACTGCAGATATTCATGAACACCTGCGGCCTACGCTGGCTCGTTATTGAAGCTTAGATGGCCAGAAAGAATAAGCAAGAAGGAACTCTGGCTGGCCGGCTGGCTGGCAACGAACCAACCAATAGCCTATCAGCCAACAACTATGCAGTGTAAGAAAGTGGAGATGGATTGGGTAAACAACAGTGAGAAGACTACTCGGGAACATGACACGCTCCAGGTGAGGCTCTCGAGTGGAATTCAAATGGGAGACGATGAGTTGGGCATCTGAGGCGAGGGTGACATGGAGGAGATTATATGAGGAAGAAAAAGAAACGCTGTGGGTAGTGGTAGAACGAGGTTGAAAAGATTACGGAGAATAGAGTGAACTGGCGACTTGCTTATGAATCCTTATGTTCCACTAGGAACCCAAAGGACAAATAAATAAGTAATCAGCAAAATACATACAGAAAAGTATTTTTTTTTTTTTAAAACAGAAATATACATCTAATGAAAAGTTAAACATACCAAATCATATGATTGACAAGTCGATCGTAGAAAAATTTACCTAAATTAAAAAGTAGTTTTAGAAAAAAATTTATATCAAGTACTAGTTGAATTCAAAATCTATACAAACGCTTTTATACATTAGGCAGTGAGTTACACCTGCTGCTTATGAAAGTTAATGATACTTACTACTTGATTGTCAAGGCCTCTTTGAAAAGTGGAACAGGGTTCGAACCCGTATCCTCATAAAGCCACTTATAGAAGAAAACATAAGAAGGAAATTTTACCGACATTCAATGAAATCTCACTTATTAATTAATACCCTTCACCAAAGATTTGTTCCATATAGGACCAGAAAGAAGGCATAACAAAATGAAAACCATACTGTATACATAAAAGACTTCTGTTGAACGTATGTTGGTATCCGTTAGAAAGGCGTATCTGAAAACTTGAAAAAACTGAAGTCCTCTAACGACTCATCACCACATTCTACTTTGATAGATGACAATCATCTGGAAAACGATAGCCATCAATAGGGAGTCAGTCTCATAACTCGATGACGTATCATACTTCTATAGGCTCTCAAGGTATCACTACTACTCAGCTACCTTGTACACAATGAGACCCATCTATTATATGAAGGCTAATGATACTACTTGATTGCGCCAACTTCGGTAGATGAAGCGGTGTTCGGACCCACAACCCAACGGTTGAAAGTCATCTCCCTAAACCACTCAACCGTAACCTTATGCTATGACCGGTAGTACGACCTAATATTCTACGAGCGATATAAGTCAAACAGATTACAAATGATACCAATTTAATGCGCAATATAAATCGACTCTGATGCAAATCAGAACGTCAACAACATCACCACAACAACAATACCACCGATGCGTGAAGACAAGAAGAGAAGACAGACCATTGACAAAGAGCTCCTCAGTCAATATCGTTGACAGTGATGCTGAATATATACATTTCTAAATGACCTTGACAACGCTGAACCCACACACAGTCAACAACCAATGAGAGTTCAACCTTGAGAGGAAGGGAAGAACAACTAGTGACGGTGTGAAAACAGCCATGTAGGTTATTTTAAGGTGGTTGGTAAAAAACCAGGCAAAAGCTATGCCAAATTAGGGGTATTTGGCACCTTTCTCATAATAAAGTGGAATAAATTGACCGAATAACAAAACTTATACATCATATAGCCTTTGCTGGTGATCATAATGGCTTAGCAGACAACGATGATGTTATTTTTAGACAACTGACAACGGTTGTTTCAGTATTTGTGAAATTGGAATCGATTATTGAGTGTTTTAAGACTTCTTAGAAATGGTCGAAGTGAAAATCAACATTTTAAGTTGCTAAGTGTTAAGGTAGGAGTTCTTTTTTTCATTTAAACCTGTTTCATGTTACTGTGTGGTTAGGAAAAAACCCGATTCGACAATTTCGTCTTACCACTGCTAATCAATCAAAATAAGGTATTTAACTTTTCATCTAGTAGTTTTACATTTTCATGAAAATTGTTGTATATGAGTGTGTACCTTTTGTCGAATAAAGTGTGTTTTTCTTATAGACAGAGGTCAGTTGTTACCTTTGAATTTTCGACGCTCATTGAGGCGAAGAATAGGCGTTATTCATATCTAGTTCAAATGCCCCATAGCGTTAATATCGTTCTTGTACTTTGTGATTATTATCATTATTGTTATTATTATTATTCACTCGATCACTGCAAGAAGCTACTAGCTTGTTTCAACACAGTAGCACATACCAATATATTTTATGGATCGTCCTTATAGACCCACAATAAAGTTATTATTAAGTCAATCTACAAATATACAAGTACTTTCAAGGTTTGCGGGAAAGTCTTGCTGAAGAAGACTGTCTAGATAGGCAGAAAACGTAGGTCCAGAAGATCCTGTCAACTGTCTACAACCATTTAACAACACCACAGACCTTTATAGTGAATCGTACAAATTAACAACCAACGCTACTGTAGAATAATACAATGCAACAAATTAACAATGCCTGGATGGCCAATAAGTACAGTCAACCGGCAGCAACGCGTCACGAATTCACACCATATTCGGGTGGGACCATCGGTAATCGAAATGAAATAAAAATCTGGTCGGCAGTCAAGTCTCGTAGTTCAGCTTGTAGAGCATCAGGTCGGAAACCCGACGGCTGCTGGCTCGAACCCCGCAGAGATCCAACTTTTCATTTCACCTTTAATCACCACTCAGTATCAATAATACATCTACGCACACGCGGATCAATTGAGAGCCAATTCACCTACAGTCTCTGACCACTGGTTTCTGTTGTTAAACGGATCCCAAATGGCATATCTACTATTCCCTATACAGCTGAACTCGACAATCAAAGATTTCATGTACTGATGTCATGTTTTAGCATGGCCACCTCTAAGCTTAATACACAATGATGTTAAATCGGTTAAAAATCTGTGATGTGGTAGATAGTGACCAGGCTTAGTAATATACGTTCTGGTTATCTGAGTCGATGATGGTTAACAACCACATCGACTGATATGCCTTTAAAAACTCCACACCTGACTTCTACTTTCCTGATATGGTGACACTACGATACACGGTTTACAATACTGTTGAGAGGCTACAAATTTGAATAAAACATTATTTATCAATCGGTACGTTTTTAAATTATCGTTCTCGCGCCATTTTCACACCGTAGCCTGTAAGTGATTCACCCCTTCCTAACTTCTCAAGGTTATCTGCCGATGAATTGGTTAATTTTCCATATTCTAGAGAAGGTCACATATCATGTACACATACACACGTGTTCTGAGCTATTTTGGAATCTTCTCACAGGTAATAACTACTTCCATCCAGATCAATATTTTTCTCACCATTTACGTGTAAAAGTTTGGAGATATTGGTATCTAGTGTACCACTTAGTTATCAGTTAAGCGTACGTAGTCTTTACACTCAGAAATATAACGACTACCAAAGCAATAATCATTAAAAACGTATACGTTTATTCAAAAGAGGCAAATCAAAAAACAACTTGAGTCTGGGATAAAATATTTAATTACATATATTATCACAAAAACTACGACATCCTACTTATCAATTAGCCACATTACAACTGCAAAGGAATTGAATTTTGAGGGAGTTGTGGGGATTTGGAAATATTCAAGTTGTTATTCATTGTAGACTGACATCAGTTGGAGGAACAAAGGAAACCTGAGAGCACTGGACAGCTATTACGTCCTAGTATGTGACTCCTCAGCAGTGTGCATTCACGACCCCACCTCGACAGGGAACGAACCCGCGACCTTCAGGTCCCGTGGCCAGCACGTTACCATTCAGCCATCGGGTCAGAATCCAATGGTCCATATTTCCAACTTCTGTAAGCTTACAATATAGCGCATCTGCCATCCAATGTCATCGTTGAATAACTGTCCTCACTACCATCAAGCTTCGCCCCACCGGTCACGACTTCTCATTGGAACTTCAGGAATACTTCTCGAAGCTAGTCACCAATGAAGACCAGCTCAATTGGATTTTGAAATATTTCCAAATACCCAAAACTCCCTCAAAATTCAATTGAACTGGTCCTCATTGGTGACTAGCTTCGAGAGGTATTCCTGAAGTTCCAATGAGAAGTCGTGACCGGTGGGGGCAAAAGCCTGATAGTTGTGAGGACAGTTACTCAAAAATGACATTAGGTGGCAGATGCGCTGTATCGTGAGCTAACAGAACTTGGAAATAAGAACCATTGGATTTTGATCCAATGGCTCAATGGTAACGTGCTGGCCACGGGACCTGAAGGTCGCGGGTTCGTTCCCTGTCTAGGTGGGGTCGTGAATGCGCACTGCTGAAGAATCCCATACCAGGACGAAATAGATGTTCAGTGCTCTCAGGTTTCCTTTGTTCCTCCAACTGATGTCAGTCTAAGATGAATAAAAACTTGCAAAAGTATTCTATACGATGCATTCTCTGAATAGCGTATTGAAGTATTGTACAGTCGTTATTGTGTACATATTCATTGGACAGCTATCGGAGTTGACGATAATTGATTTATGAATCATTGACATCATCAAGATCCACATGGGACTAGGTATAACAGCATAACGGTTCAACTTGCCATATATCGTACCACCACATTAAGTACCAAGGCAATAAAACAAAGATGAAGAAGGAAATAAAAGTCAGTTAAAAGAAACAGAAAGTTGTAAAAGAGAGGAAGTTAGGATGAGATGAGGATAATGTATGTATACAACTGTGCCACTAACATCAGTTCTGAGTCATGCGATCAACTAGAGTCTCCAACCATTAGTTTCTCTTGTCCCGCGGACCCCGATCGGCTAGTCTGCATCACTCTGCATAGCTCAAATCAACAGTCAACGACTTCATGCATGCATGTCGTGTTTTAGTCTGTCCACCCTGAGCCTTTTGAAAAATGAACCTACTTCGAAGCCAGCCATCTCAATCGATGAAGGTCCAACTATCCTGTCTCTCCTTCTTATATTTCTATGCCTGACTTCTGCGTTACTCATGTGGTGGTATTATGAAATACGGCCTATATTACGAAGGCAACGATGGTCAAACACCTGAAGCCTTCTAATATCTTCTACCTTTAATGGCCGTGTTTCACAGATATACACAGCACAACAGAGTGAACTTCTGTACAGTACACTTGACTCATAATCGATCGACATTCAGATATCGCACCGGTGCCACAGATGGCGTAAGTTGGTAAAAGCCAAACGAGCCTTTGGCATCTGTGCAGAGGTTTCGTCATCCACTGAATAACCTACTATGGTTGATCTTACTTCTCGCTCAACCACTTCACTGTTTATGGTTAGTCAAGATACCGTCGAAGACCAGTCCTGAGGCAATAATTTGCATTCGGTTGGGGAGAAACGCATTTCAAACATTCTCAAATTGCTACTCAAGGTGTTCAGAAAACTCTGCATCTTGTCAGCTTCTTCACCTAACACGACTGTGTCATCATCTGCGTATACTAGGTCTACCAAAAATCTTCTTATGACTAGATCAATCCATGTGTAGTCAGACAACGAAAAGGAGACTCTCCATAAGAACATGTACGATAAAATTGAATAGAAATGGAAAGCAGGAATCCTTGATGGACACCATTCGATGTACACAACCCACCAAACCCCTCGCCAAAGGCTCTAACACGCCCATAAGTGTTCAAGTAGAGTCTTCAATGGAGTGATGTAATTACGCGGTATTTCTTTCAGTGAGAGATATTGCCACAAGATTTCTTGATCGATGGAGTCAAATGCCACCTTCAGGTCGAGAAATACAGCTAATGTCGGGCGTCGGTAGGCGTACCTGTATTCCACAACTTGGCGCAGCGTGAATATTTGTTCGAAACACTGACAATCAAGTCTGGGGATTGCCTGGTTTTCTCGGACTCGCTGTTTCCAAGCTCCTCTTAGACGTCTAATGATTATCGAACGTAGGATCTCAAACACTATTTTCGCCAGTCTGATTTCTCTGTGGTTATCACAAGGACTTCTCATCTTTATGGAAGATTGGGATAATCAGTGATTCAGACCAGTCAGAGGGGATCATAGTTGACTCCCATGCGCTAAGACAACACTTTGGTTAACTTGACTAACAACACTCTACCACCGTCCTTACATACCTCAGGTCCTGTTGGTATTCCTTGTTTCAAGTTACATACTGCTTTCTCGGCTTCTCTAAGTGTTGGAGAGCCTATCTCAATGTTCCATTCAGGGTCCAACTGGATACCGGGCAATCCAATAGTAGCTGGAAAGCAGCTGAACTGTTCCTTTAAGTGTTTCACCTATCGTTACAGGTATCTAGCCCCACTTCACTTAATGATGTTAAAACAGTCAAGTAACATCAAAAACCCTTACACAAAATGGTATGGCTAATCACTTACTGCATAAGGTTGGGTAGTCCAGGTCGATCTAATTCAGTATGAAAACTGTCCAAACCTCAGTAAGTGGAACGGGGTTTGAACCTACAACCCATTGGCTATAAGTCACCTCTCCCTATACCAATGAAACACGACCGGTCAGTGTACAGGAATTTGTCTTGTTTGACAAATATAAACTTTAGTTTTAAGCAAAATCTATCTCTATTGAAGAAGTTGTGACTTCAACAGAAGCAATATTCATAAGGAAACCAGATAAGAGTGTTTAAAACACACTGGAATTATTATTACCAAGTAATTTGATTAGTGACAGCTAAACGTGGAATTCCTAACACACATTTCCTCCTATCCATAAGAACGTGTCAGCTGGTTATACCTGTGTGCTAGCTGAGTCAGCAGTTCACGTTTCTCTCTTCTTCATTGTTCTTTCAAACTCTCATGAACACCATTAAATTCACATTCACACCAGATACAGTGTTATCTGCTGGATGAGGTGTATAAAGAGGTGGAGACTACTTCGTGACTGAGGTCCTCGAAACGATAGAAATCAGTAGCTGAAGACTCTTGGTGAAATCGCTAAAGATCGACCATGGTGATGTAGATGTATTTACACTAATATTTTCTGAAGGCTGAATGTTTTGGTTAAGCTTAATTTTCAAACTCGTTTTTGTTCTATACATCTTCATCTACCTTGATATCACTCTTTTTCTACTCACTTGTTCTTTGTATACTAATATGAAGTGGGGCAATAAGGCAGTAAGATCATGTACTGCTTTGGTCTCCGCGTAGACGACGCACAGATACGAACCCCATTTCACTTCTATCTTAATTAAGGTATTCAAGTGGTATCAGTGTGCCTCACACATATCTAAGCAATAGAGGCCGTAAATGGTTGCGGAGGTACACTGTAGATTTGGGCACATGTTTCGTAGTGTAAGAGACCTATTACTACTATTATTATTGTGAGTAGTATAAACACATAGCTACTAAACACCTTTGTAATATATAAATGTCAGTAAAAAGAACCGATCTACCTTTATGCTCAGCATAAAATAACTCGGCATGATCACGTGTCATGTAGAATTCCTGACAGTGCACAATTTTTAGCTGGGCATCACGCATAACGGACTCTACATACTGAAATATAAATAAGTAGTATAGAAACAAACACTGAATTAAGCATTAAAAAGTAATGACGAAAATTGTTTGTTGAAACAACAGATCAAAATCATAATTAAAATTCATTCAAATGTTAAAATTCGGATCTAAGTAGTAAAAAAATTAGGAGGAATCAAATTCATGAGTAGGTCACTAGCTGACAAATCTCACAAGGACTATGCTAATAGATATAACAATGAGGTTGCTTTATGAAACTAAAAAGTGGTTCTGTAATTACATTATTATTATTATTTATTCCTTTGGTTCCTAGTGAAACATAGAGCTTCAATAACACGTCTCCATTCCACTCTCTTCTCTGCAATCTTTTCAACCTGCCTCCATGACAGCCCAGAAACTCTCGTTTCTTCCTCACACCATCTCCTCCTTGTCACCCTCACCTCGGATGCCCAACTCATCGTCTCCCATTTGAATTCCACTCGAGAGCCTCACCTGGAGCGTGTCATGTCCCCGAGTAGTCTTCTCACTGTTGTTTACCCAATCCATCTCCACTTTCTTACACTGCATAGTTGTTGGCTGATAGGCTATTGGTTGGTTCGTTGCCAGCCAGCCAGCCAGCCGGCCAGCCAGAGTTCCTTCTTGCTTATTCTTTCTGGCCATCTAAGCTTCAATAACGAGCCAGCGTAGGCCGCAGGTGTTCATGAATATCTGCAGTTTGTTGGAAATGCTCTTCGTGACGCACCAAGTTTCTTAACCATATAGTAGCACTGACTTCATTGGCATTGGTGTTGAATATCCGGATCTTCTTCACGCTTTATCCTGAGTGCAGTAAATCTCCACACTGGTTTCAGGTTAATGAACACCTGTCTTGCTTCTCCGATCCTGGATGGCTTTGACGTACTCGTCTCTGCTGCCATCTGTAGTTGAAACGATCCTACCTGCCTACGTGGTAGGTGAAACAGGCTACTTCCTTTAAGTTTCTCCCGTTCATCGTCATTGGTGTTTGTTAGTGGTGGTGGTGGTGGTGGTGGGGTTGGTTGGGTATCACCATCACCTCCGTCTTCTCTACGTTCACTTCAAGTCCTGTCTTCGCTGCCTCGTCCTTCCTGTCAACATATTAGTTTTTGCCTACAGATCTTCAACTTTCTGTGACACTAGACGCAAGTCATCGGCGAAATCTAAATCTTCCAGGATCGTTTACCCACTCCACCTAGCGTATACTCACTCCTCTTCTCGCTCCTCACTGTTTGTTGCATGATCCAGTCCAGTCGACCACAATCAGAAATATCATGCATGATAGTAGATAGCCTCATCTTACTCCTGTCTTCACTTCTGACTCAAAGGCATCACTGAGCTTCACATTGTTACTTGTTGTTACTTGGCATGTGGCCTCTTCATATAGTTCTTGAATCAGGTTGATAAAGGTTTGTGGCACTCTGTAGTGTTGAAGCAGTTGCCTGTCAAATTACTTCTTAGTCGACGCTGTCAAAGGCCTCCTCAAAGTCGATGAAGTTGACGTAGTTTTCAGTTGACTGCTATTCTATGCCCTGTTCTATGATGATGCATAACGTTGTTATTTGGTCCACACATGATTTTTACTTTCTGAATCCAGCCGGCCAGCCTGTTCCGGGCGTAGTGAACAGCGGAAGACAACTAGACGAGAGAACGTATGTTACGAGCAATTGGAATGGTAGTGGTTACATATGGTACTCCTCGCACTCACGCAGCCATTTGCAAATGTCTTCGTTTCCTCTCCCTTCCTGTCTTGATTCGCTCTTGACCGGCTCTTCATACACTCTTATCAGCAGCATCCCCTGTAATACGCCTGTGTTGTCCCCTGCGTTGCTCTTGGCAGAAACCTTACCCATTGCCGGTAATACCCTATGATTCCTGCCACACACTCGATATATACTACTTATATCTGTTGTTATCCGCAACGCCCACTACAGTAGTTTTGAATCCAGAGCATCCTATAGTCTCTCCAGGGTGATGCGGCATAATATTTTGCGCGGGGTGAACAGAAGCATAATTCCGTGCCAGTTCTTGCAAAGACTTAGGTGGCTTTCTTTTGGGAGTTTGACAAGTTAGCCCTTCTTCTAATCGCCAGGTACCTTTCCTTCGTTTGAGACCTTCTGCAATAGTTGTGTGAGCATATCCGCTGTTGTCCCTACATCTGTTGTGGTTCTGAAATCGTAGACTTTTATCATGACTAATTTATGCATGAATATAGTGTATATCATGGAAAAAACGAAGATGAGCGGTTACTGTTATGATTTGGAAAACTGCTATGGCCGCTAACGATGCACAGATATAGACCAACAGCCACTAACGTTCAACAAATTCTAAGTTGATTCACAACCCGACTATTTAATGAAGAAAACACGATGGACGTGTATAAGAGTCGAAAGACCGACTAGCCAACATGTTTATAGCAAAATTGGAATGTGTACCACTACGTAGTATGATCGATAAATTGTCCTGACATTCTTCTTGATGTATTCAACAGTGCTCATCCAGGAACCGAGTTCACATATAAAATACAGAAAGACGAATGTCTGTCATTTCTAGGTAATTTACCATCAAAACGAACAGATGGCAGTGTCAGACAGTATTCATTGTAAGAAATCATAGGTTGATCAGTATACACATTTCCCATTACTTGTCCCTCTTACGTACTAAAGGAATTTAATCCGTATACTCAGATTTCAAGCCAGTAAGATTTTCCCAGCTGATACTTTGAACGATGAATTAACAATAATATGGAACCCCTTATATGAGAACGGCTGTCCTGAAAAGTTCTTAAAGACTGTAATAGTGAAAACAGATGAAGAAAAGCTCCATCTGTTTTGCTTTGCTATTTCTTCTGCTTTGAAGAGTTTATTCAAGGTTTTATTGACCTGGTTGTCGAACTCTTGGATAGGGTTGATTTCAAATGGTTGGTACACGTTTTCGTTTTTGAGTAATTCCTCTGCCTTTTTGATATAGTTTTCTTTGTCCACGACTACTGTAGTACGTCCTTTATTTACTGGAAGTATAATGATATCTTTCCAATTACCAATAACAGGAGAAACTTAAAGGAATGAGTCTCTTTCACCTACCTAAGCAGGCAGCTACAGGTGGGATAGGAACTGACGAGGATGTCAAAACCAGGATCGGTAAGACAGCAAGACAGGCTTTCATCAACTTGAAATCACTGTGGAGATCTACTGCACTCAGCACAAAGTGTGAACAACATACGGATTTTCAACAAATGAAGTACTTGGCATTTTTATCAAGATTATAAGTAATATCGTAATGTAAGAAAGTGTTTCTTCTGCTTTTATATGCAAATTGATTAGGGTCTCCGAAAGCCCTCAGTGAGGGCTCGAACACAGGTATTATTACCTTTTTCATTATTTTAAGAACGGAGAAGTAACTGCAATCGGGGGAATTTTGTACATGACCCTAGAGTCCTTAACTTAGATACGGGGAGCCGAGTACATCAGTATTTACAATGCATTCAGAAGCAATTCAGAAGTTGAAACCATCATTATGTCATTCGACAACCTCTTTCTCTCTCATGGTCATCGTAGAATATCGATCATTCCAGATAACCAACATATGACGCAACTATTTCTGTTTTGCCATTACATAACTTTTCTTTATCACCTAACCTTTGATCAGAAATTACGCTGGAAGATCCTTCCCATTCTATCATATATTCACGTATGAATAGCTAAGGTAATGATTTCGTTGAAAAGGAAGTTCTTTTCTCCGCTATAATCGTCTTTTGTTTTTTCGATTAAAAAAGCTCACGATATTCGAGCGTAGCTTGACCTAATTTTTAGTCTAACCTCAACACAACAAGAACTATAATTAAGTTTTAACAAGAAATTTCAATCTCAGACATCAGTTAGTTGAAGGGAATCGAAAGAAGGTCTTGTGCCGATAGCTGCTACCTTGATGTGGCGGTCAGATTCGCATATCACAATGACCCAATAAGCTATCCATCCTGGTGGAACACTTCTCCCACCGATGTCCTACCATTCCACAAACGTCTGTTCGATAGTGGTTACACGAAAACCAGTCACCCTTGTGGTGTAAATTACTACACTCTGCTGGGGGTCTGAAGATGAATTCCTACTGCTACTAGCTGGATAGAATGTGACGGTAGTAAGACGTTTCTCTTGAATGACCAGAAGTTTCATGATGATGCTATCTACTCAGTGGAACGAGGGATGGCTAGAAAAGGTCGGCCTCGAAGTATAACACACTCCACCATTTAAAACAACAAAAGTTCAAAACAACCATACACAAAAGGCTGCGTGTAACAAGCCGCAAGCAGATATCCGGTGGGCTCTGCGGTCATAAAAATCTCTTTCAGAAGAAATGGTCTTCCACTGTGTAGGCAGCCGAGAAATGACAACCACCCTCACAACTCTATCAGCACTCACGTTTCTTCAGATAGACCTACATTTTATGCTTTCTGGCACTTGCCAACAAGGTGTATCTCCAACTTTGAGGGAATTGATGTCCCATTTAAGATTCGAACACCCTATCAACCTAACATTCCCACGTCCAAGTTGCTAAACACCATACATAGAAATGTTATCATTCTCAATCGATAAAACATTACCGACTCACCGATACAAAAGAACACGAATAAAGCAATCGAATATAAACCTGGATACTCAGTATCCCGGACGAGGCATTGAAAACTATTATCAATATTGATGCTGAATATTTGAAGATCAGAGGAGTTGGTCTTGATTGTAGTGTGTTCTCTCAGTTGGGTTGTTTAGTCGTGGAAAAGCTTTCATCGTCTTCTAGACGGCATCATCAGCGCTAACTTCCCTATGAAGTGAGCTATCGAATTTAGTAGCTTACCCTGACCAACTGGTTTGTGATTGGTTGTTTCCCTCGAATGTTGTGTCATTGACAGACTGTATAGATTTTCCTGTTGGCTGTACTTCTGCTTCACCTCTCACCTTTCTGTCCTCAATCATTTTTCTCATTGGTCAATTGCTGTCTGACCTGAATGACAACCTTCTAGGAATTATCTGATATTCTTTGTGTTTCCTCTCTCCATCCAAAATTTCCACATTGTCAAAATTGAATTCCTGCCCACAGTTGTTATCCACATGGATTGAAATGAGTGATGAAATGTCGTCTGTAACGTTTAATAGCCAATTGGTGTTCACGTAGACGAAGGCGAAGACGGAGACCACCTTGTTCAATGTAGCGTTGACTACAATTATTGCAGTTATCTCTTTTGGTTGTTGCTTCTTCTGGTCTACACAACAGTGTTTGGAGGGGATTTGTTGGTTTATGAGCCATACCAATTCCATCAAGTAGTCTCAGTAGTCTTGTCATGATCTGATATATTCTTCAATGTACAGTAGAATGATGCATTTGTTGATTACTGTCGATGACTTTGCAGTTAATGATGTACAGGATAGGTATTTTCTGAAAACGTTTCACAGGTAACCGTTCTTCTCTAGGATAGGATATTACTAAATAGAGAAATGTCGATACAGACATAAATCTTGATTTCTTAAGATAGCATTCATCATCGACTGAGATCATTTGGAGAACCATTGAAAACATGAAAGCACTGGAGACCTATTTCACTCTAGTATAGGACTCTTAATCAACAGTCGCTAGCAAGTACAAGTAGTGAAAATTTTAAAACTTTCAGAGATGACAAGTAGAGCACATATTCGCGCCATTATGAGTTACTAACTCTCTTCTACATATATACTATAATATCTGAGAGAAACCATTCGGGAAAAAACAACTCAAAAATCACTCATTAACACAACATGAAGTCAGTATAAATATTACTGGTTAACAAAAAAAACTTTTCAATTCAATATTACCTTACGATAATTGATAAATCTTTGTACATCTGGTTTCAATAAAGCCAATGTTAATTGTTTAAGCGACATTAGAAGACTACTGAAATAAACGATATAGTAGTATGTAAACATATATGAAATATAACTAAATAGGAAATAGTCCATAAGATTAAAATTCTTATGCATAATAAACCAAGGTAAAATTATTTATAAAATATTCTAATTGAATGTGGTCAGAATGATATCTATTCCTAAATGAAATACAATCTCATGTTAAGTAAGCAGATGATATCGTTTCATTGTGTAACAATACATACGATACTCAAATAGAATTCAATCAATTAGTAGTCCAATGGCTTCCTACCACCGCAGGAAAATGTTATTTTCCATAATACATAGAAGCTGGTACATCCACTAAATCTTGGCAGTGAACAGTCGGAAGTTATTGGAAAACTCATCTAGTTAAGTATGTTTATGTGAATTGTGAGATTTTTAATTGCATATCGACTGCAAGATAGGCATAAACCTGTGACACAGTCGTGAAGATAGATGTGGTGTTAAAAGTGGAGTATATGAACGCGTCGGTACACGAATCTCTTCATCTGCATTCATCATACTTCATCTGTCCGAGTTAAGGATGTCCAACGTATTCGGATGAAGTTGTCTCTGCAGGACTGTTCACATCCAGTGGAAACACCATGTGAGTAACACAAATGTGGAGTGATGTGTTTCGGCATAGTGGAGATCGTTATCCATTGAACGCAATCATCTTGAAACAATGGCTTAAACATATGTCGTGAATGTCCAGTGACTTCCACAGCGTTCACTGTTCACGTGATCTGAGACAGGATGGTTGAAGTATAGATGTGGTGGCTTATAACACAGCGTCATGAGGTCAAACATAGTTGTTCTGTTTAACCAACTGTTGGAGCCACACCACAACGTCCTGGAGATTGCACCACTTAATGTCTTGAAAGAATCGCAGCAATGGTTCAGTAGCGATTGCCCCTCAGTGTAGAATCTTTTGTTACTAAAACGTTAAGACAGGCACAAACATAAAATCCACGTAGAACGTTACACATACAATGGCATTGCTTCAAGTTGTCACACTTCACAATATCATGAAAAACAAAAAGTGGACAGAATACAGCTGTTATGAAAGTAGGTAAATATGTATGGGAGAAGAAGGAAATAAAGAATATCTCCATTGTAATATATTTCCATTGTTATATTTTACGATCAAAGATATCTAATTTTTATCGAATAACTCAAGCATATAACAGCGTGAGAGCGAATAGGATGCATAATGTTCAAAATTGATCTATTTTATTATGTCATCTGAAATTCGCGAAACATCTGTATATCAATCATCAATTAACTATCTGAGATAACCGGATTTTGGAAAACTATTATTTATGTTAGATGATGATTGAGGGCAAAAAGAAAATTTCCACCGCTGTCGGAATCGAACTAGCGACCATCTAGTTTCCAGTCCGATGTTCTACTAACCAAGGTACGAAGCCGTACTGTTGACCAGAGTTTTATTCCACTTTATCAATCATCAAGGGGTTTTGCCCGACCAATACCATGTGAATTTGTGACAGGTGACCATCGCTTGATCGTACTCACACTGGCTACTGCCTAGTCAAGACTTCGCATTCCAATCCAGATCTAAATTACAGAAGGGGGGAGTGGAGAGTCATATTGGTTAGCATTTGACTATCTGAGTGAGATAGTTGTGGTTTGGTAGACTACAATTATTGATTCTGGGTAATGATTGAAAGTGAAATAAACATTCGGATCGCGTTGGGATTCGAACCAGCGACCACTGAGTTTCCGATTCGATGCTCTATCCACTGCGCTACGATGACTTTATATCATCTTTATGAAAAAGGATCAGAAAAAGATAAGAGAAGCAAGCGATGAATTCGATCCGTCCTGATTGTATAAATGATATATTTCCATAAAACTACTCACAAAAAGGTGTCTACAACTTCATTAACATATCCTGTAAGAAAGCGAAAACTCACTATAAGTTACAAATTTTGTGTCCCATCGAAGAGAATACACCAGATTGAAGTTGAATGCCAATTTCACAAACTGTATGACTAATTTATCCATTTTCATGCTGTTTCAAGTCATAAACGAAAGTGGAATGAAATCAAAAAGTGGTTGATATTCCACATCAGTGACGATTTATGCCCTTCAGCCAATGACCAAATATTTATACTGGGCTATAATTCAACGTAAAATGAAAATATAGAGGGCTGCCGGATTCCAACCAGCGTTTCAGGGCACAGGCTCTACCAATTGAGCAAATCCTATAGTGACTCAAGTGAGAAATCTCGTCAGCAGTCGAACCTCGTAGCTCAACTGATAAAGCATCGGGTCCGGTCGTTGCTGGTTCGAGTCAGCTCACGGTAAACATTTTAATCTCACCTCCAATTATCAATCAGTATTAATAATACTAGTCTGCCAAACCACAGCTGCTACATCAGATAGTCAAATGATAACGATCAACTATGTTGTAATTTGTTATTTTGGTATTTGTACTTCCCAATAAATGAATGTAAAATAAAATAAATTTGTTCCAACTGACATTTCACTATCCTTATGCTGCTAATTTCCTGAATGATAGCTGCTACCTTGATGTGGCGGTCAGATTCGCATATCACAATGACCCAATAAGCTATCCATCCTGGTGGAACACTTCTCCCACCGACGTCCTACCATTCCACAAACGTCTGTTCGATAGTGGTTAAACGAAAACCAGTCACCCTTGTGGTGTAAATTACTACACTCTGCTGGGGGTCTGAAGATGAATTCCTACTGCTACTAGCTGGATAGAATGTGACGGTAGTAAGACGCTCCTCTTGAATGACCAGCAGTTTCATGATGATGCTGTCTACTCAGTGGAACGCGGGATGGTTAGAAAAGGTCGGCCTCGATGTAAAACACACTCCACCATACCCCACGGTCTGCTGAGCCGGTGGTGTTCGTTCATTTGTCGTTTCCTTTCGACCATCCGGCCCCAAAAATACAAAAGTTCAAAATAATCATACTTCGTGTGACAGGCCTCAAGCAGATGTCCAATGGGCTCTGCAATCACACACCTTAAGAAGAAATAGCCTTCCATGTGTGGGCAGTCGGGAAGTGTCAATCACCCTCATACTCACACAGCACTCAAGTTCCCTCAGACTGCTATCCACCTACCCCCCCCCGCCTCATTACCTTCTAATCTTCCTTCACGTCTCTTAATTGATGATGCTGCATCATCTTCAATTTCTCCTACCTCTGCAGCCTCCGGCAACGATCTGAGTCCACAGAACAGCATCACTGGTCTCCTTAAACCACACTCCAAATTACACATCGGAGCCTTCAATGTCCACACCCTCCGTCAAATTGGTCAACAGGCTTCGTTGGCAAGAACTCTAGCAACTCGGGCATGGATGTGTGCTGTGTTGGTGAGACACGCATATAGGACCCAAGTGCGGTTATTCACATGACCTCTCCTGACCAATCTGGTGAATCCGCAAAATTCACCCTCCGAGTTTCTGGAGATTCAATGGCTAACTTTCGTGGTCTTGCAGGTGTAGGTATAGCATTAAGCACCAGGGCAGAAAACTCACTACTAGACTGGATCCCAGTTGATAGTCGCCTCTGCGCTATCAGGCTGAACGGCACAGTGAGAACTAAAAGGAATAGTGAGACTCGCCGTTGTCTCTTTGTAATTTCTGCTTACGCACCCACTGACTGCAGCTCGGATGAAGTGAAGGAAGAGTTCTACCATAAACTGTCTAACCTCCTCTCGAAAGCCAAAAGTTCAGACGTGGCGGTTGTTGCAGGTGACTTCAACGCACAGTTGGGTAGACTGAGTGAAGTAGAAAGGCACTTAGATGGCACTTTCGGAATCCCAGCTGAACGTACAGATAACGGTGATCGCCTATTACAACTGTGCTCAGATAACCGCCTAATTTTAGCCGGAACCAATTTCAGACATAAAGACACTGCCTGACGTGGCGTCCACCTAGCTCAACTCAGCGATGGACATAAATAAACCATACTGCTACTGGTCATCGCTGGAGAGGACCGATGGAAGACTGCTGCACTTTCTGGAGTACATGCATGGATAGCGACCACGCGTTGGTCCAGCCGCGTATATGTTTGCGTCTCAATGGAGGTAAGAAAAATTTGGCAACAAAACCACTACGAGTGCTGCTGGACAACGAAAACAACAAAGCCGTTTTCAGTGACAAGTTGGCTAGGCAGTTATCGGAACAAAAGACTATCACTCATCTAAAAGAAGCTTGGTGCCATCTTTAGTCTGCCGTAAAAGTAGCACTGGAGACTGTAACCGACTCCAAAATAGTGGCTAAAAAGAGCCAGTAGATATCAACAGCTTCTCCCGAACTAATGGATGCACGTGAACACATCCCTACAGGCTCTGAGTACAATGAAGAGCGAGTGCAACTTAAAAGTAGATTGAGAGAAAGTCTACACAACGATCGCGAACAATGATGAGCAGCGAAAGCTAAAGAGATGGAAAAGGCAGCGGCGATCGGTAACAGTAGAAAGTTATTTAGACTTATTAGGGAGACTAGGATGAAAAGATCAACAACAGTTAGTGAGGCTATAGCAGGGAAGGACGGGTCTGCAATTCACTCGCAGGGGAGACGACTGGAACAATGGGCAGAACACTTCGAGAAACAGTCTAACTGGCCTCCAGCCACGATTGCGTTGCCCGCTATCCAGTCGGATCCTGAATGTGACATAGAGATATGCCCCCCAACACTAGAAGAAGTTGAGAAAGCGGTAGGTAACCTAAACGAGGAAGGGCAGCAGGACCAGACGGACTGCCTGCTGAGGTGTACAAGAATGGTGGTAGAGTGCTCCTAGTCAGGTTAACGGAAGTATGAGCCAGTATATGGGAATCAAATACGATGCCCTCTAAATGGTCTAAATCATTAATTATCCCAGTCTTCACGAAAGGCGAGAAGCCCTCTTGTGATAACCACAGAGGAATCAGCCTGACGAACATAGTGTCTAAGATCCTAGGTTTTATAATTCTTTGACGCCTGAGTGGAGCTCAGGAACAGCAAG